GCGGCGCTCGGGGCGGCTCCAGCTGCCAAAGGGGTTTCAGGTGGAAGGTGGAGAGGAACGAGCCAGTGAAAAACGGATCGGAGTTTGAGGACCTCAGCAACTAGGTGGCCGGTGGGGAGGAATAGGGAAGATAGCTGGACTTCCAGTGCCAATGGGAGTACAGGCAGGCCAACACCGAGCACTTCTGAAAAGCACTTTTTTTAAAAAAAAAAAATTTAATATAGGTAAGTGACTGAAGTGATAAACCAGCAACACCTACCAAGTCCCTTTTTTTTTTAATTATTACTACGACGGAGCCAGGCTGAGCACCGTGTACCGGGGCAGCAAAGCGCACCCGCAGCAGCGCACCGTGACCGTCCCGCCGAGCACTGCGAAACAACGGTGGGTGACCTAATCCGCCCCCTGCCCAGCACGTTAGGTGAGACCTTCCTGTTGCACAAGCACCGGTGGCTTCGTTTGTCCCAGCTTTGCAAGGCTGCCGGCTCCTACTTGGTTTGCCTGTTGTTAGAAATGCATGTGAGTATTGAGAGCGTTATATAAAGATTGATGGATTTATGTTTATGTCATGCAAATTTATATTTGCTATAAATTGGGCGGGGGGGGGGGGGGGGGTTTTTCGCAGGCGGAAGGAGCCGTAACGCTCTGCTGACTCCACCTAGAAATGCAGCTTGGAAGCAGCTGGCGGGACCGGAAGCGCTCGCCTTTCTCCGACGCACGAGGCCGGATGAGTTACCATCCTCCTGACACCTTGCCCGCTTCCAGGATGTTCGGCCCGCTGGCATTTCCCGAACGTTTTGAATTGGGAGCTTGAGTTCCTCAGCATCGTGGTGGCACGAGTGGGAATAAATAGCAAAGCACTTGGCTCCCTCGCCAGAGACAAGATATTTCAATGGTGGAAAATATGTGTGTATTCTCGGGGCGGTGCACTTAAATCGCTCCAAATATTTTTAGTCGCTTCCCCGCGCTCGTGCACAACCGGCCCAGGCCATTCATCTCGTCCCCTGCTTAGAAGTACCGAGCCAAACACAGCCTTAGGCTCACGTCTGATCCAGAATGCGTATTTATATAAAGCGGGCGCTAGGAACTGGCATGCCTTTTTCTGCATTTTCCAAGGTTATGTCATGATGAGCCGCAGAACTGGCCAACGTCTGTTTTAAGGGAATTGATGGGGGGGGGGGGCTAGTATCAGGCTTACTACTTTAAGCAAGCCTTTTGGGCAGGGAGGAAGATGATTTAGTGATTTTCACACACACAATTTCACTGCTTCAGTGCTGGGTTAATGCGTATTAACTGCTTACAGCCTCCATGTGGGACTGCAATCCTCTGAAAAGAGAACAGGGCTGGGAACTTTTTCGGTGCAAACTGAGAGCGCCTTGGTCTTGGACTATCAAGTCTGAGTTTCCCGGACGCGCCTGGACTTCCAAGCGGAGCCTTCCTGCTCAGCTCCAACCTGATGCAGCAACTCAAAGTTCAGGCACATCTGAAATTTGCAGTATTAACATCCCTGTGCCCTTGAGGGCCATTTCCAACCTTAAAAGCCCAAGTCAAGAGCTACTGAACTCAAGTGATCTCACTTTAAAAGTGCTTGCTCCTGACAACAATGATAAAAGCCAAGTTGGAAAGTGTAACTTTCGACCACATTCTGCAAAAGTTCTGGCCAAAATGTAAAAGAGAGCTTTTTTTTTTTTTTT